CAGTGACATGAAATCATCATCCATAAACTAGGAATCCAAAGAATTTATTTTTAAACACCTAAAAGTCTACACATTAGCATTGCAAATACCTACAAGAATTTATGATTCGCATGATTCGGCAGATCTTCGAATTTTAATATTCCTGACACACCCAACATTATCACACATTACCTACTCGATTCCACACAAGACCCACCCACGTTTCACATACGCCAAAAGTGACTCACCCCTGCCAATGTTCGCTAAATCGCCCCAATCAATCGCGACAGCGGATTGGCTTACCCTGCATACACCCACCAGCCTAACCAGACCTACACCACTACATCTACTAAGCTAAATCAGAATCAGTTTATGGGTATGGCGGCTCAACATACACTGGCCGTTAAGAAAAAAACTTTTTTATTTTTCCCCCCATTTCCACCGTTTCGGTGATCGCACATCCCGCGGGATTTCGGCCAATCAAATTAAGTTTCGATTGACGTTCCGTTCCAATTTCGAATTTGAACTTGTTTTGTGCCAATTATAATTATTATTGCTGCATTGCTACCAGTTGTGTGTGATTTTAAATTGAATAACAGAATAACAGGCAGGCTACGTTAGCCCCTTTAAATGGTATAGAGAAAAATATTTTTCATTAGTTTTGTACCTTATGTTTTCTCAATAACGTTCAAAATATGGTGGCAACAATTCTGCCACTACCAGGTAAAAGTTGAAGCTAAGAAATAATGACATTTTATTTTGTTATGTAGGTATTATTAACAATATTAAACAAAATGAAAAATGAATTGAAAATTCGCGATCGATTTAAGGCCAGCGGCTTTTTGATAAATTTGTCCATAAGTCATAACAAGTCATTTTTATTTTTACCCAAAAGTTTATCTATCGCTTGCTGAAAAGCGTAGTTGCATAGTTATTTTGTTAAATTTTCCAAAGAAATACAATGAATTTACTAAGACCAAAGTCACCTCTCAAGAATTCGTTTATTTCGTTCCGCATAATTGAATGCTTATTCACTATCTTATCACATTATTTAGCACATTGAGTTCAAAAACATTCTAATAGCTAGCCATTTGGCCAATGTGTGAGATTATTATTTAAATAGATGAATAGCAAAAAATTAAGAACAAAAAACGACTACATTTTATTTTTAGTCGTACATCTTGCACTCGTTTTATGAAGAAAAATACTTCCATACAACTGTATATTTTTACGGTCGGTTAAAACATTTTGGGCGACTGTTTGCGAAACATGACAGCCCTATTGCAATGGTCGTAAGATTCAATTTTGAACATTAAATGTGAAATTTGTTTATAAACAGAATACCTACCTACAAACTTCGCGGGGGGGTCCGAAAAAAATCTGGTTCGCATAAAAGATGAGTTTCTTACTCATTATGTTTTGGACAACATTGTAGTAATTTTGCACAAACGGCTGCAAATTAATGGTTAGTTATAAAAATCAAGATAATAGAGCGGTTTTGAACTACGTCCGACCCTAAAGGTGGGTATAGACTAGTACATTTACTTGTAACAGAACAATGAGCCGCTCTATAAAATGTCTAGAGCTGAAGAGATTTGAAAAATTCTTTCTCTATTAGAATTCTACATTATTCCTGACGAACATAAGCTATAACTAACTGCGATTGACCGAAATTAACGCGGGCAAAGCCACGGGCAAAAGCTAGTTGTTAATATGCTTAAAATCTTAGGCTGAGTTGCACCGCCAAACTTTAACGCTAATTTTAACGTTAACAAACGTTTTTTATACTTAGGCTAGGTTGCACCATCTTACTTTAACTTTGACAAACGTCAAAATCTGTCACACTTCATATAAAAAGCACCGGTTGTCGTTATAGTTACGGTCAAAGTTGGTGGTACCCTTAGTATGACAGATTTTTGACGTTTGTCAAAGTTAAAGATGGTGCAACCCAGCCTTAACGTGTCTGTTTCTCAAATCGTAATACCAAGTCGAATTTTTTCATTAACACAAACCGTCCGTGTAAATTTAACCCCATCCCAGCTGGCTAGGCGAGGACTACTGGCCGAAACATAATAGCCGTTCCAATTTTAATTTGGAATCAAAAAGAAAAAGGTTTGGTAGACCAACTTGATGAGACAGCACACTTTGTACAAAAGATAGAGCTAAGATGCTAAGAGCTTATGATGGCAGTAAAACCTCCCACCGCTCGACTATTGTGGTGAGCCCACTCGTAATACAAGCTTATTTAGCTTAACACGAGGGGCTAACGGGACTATTAGTAATTTGTGCAATACAAATTGCTAATAATGTTTTGTTAAATAAAAAACGTGAAAACAGTGTTCATTGATGAATTTTAGTAGTTTTTAATTTCTTGAATAAGCACTGTCTAAGTTGAAGTAAAGTTAATGTAAAAAAAATTACGTACCTAACTAAAACCAAAAATATGGATAAGTATAGCCTGACCAGGAACATAAAAACCCTCGCCATGTTGCGGAAAATTAATGGTACTAATTTCTTTTAATGGCAACAGTAACTGAAAACTTCATTGACATGTCACCTTGCATGTCAGTCTATTGTTGTCAAAGTGTAAACAAACTTTATTTTAAATGTTTGCAATTGATTTTGTGAATTAAATTGCTAAAATATTTTTATAGTCGTGAAAGAAAAGTGGTTCACTATGTGTTAAAGTATTTGTCGAAGAGAAATACTTAAGGTTCGGACAATATTTTCATTGAATAATGTTTCCGACAAAGGTTGTCAAATTGACTGACATGTATATCGTATAGTACAGTCCACTATGAAAATTAGCTGTAGTCTGTTTCAACTACCTATTTTAAAGTTTTTTGTCACTTTCTAAGTTTTGAATTTTATGGAATTGGGAAAGAAGTACCGAGTTTGAAGCGTTCATGAGCAGACATTGCAGTTGAATATTCAAGTTCTGAATTTGATTATTGATGAATAAATAAAAATAAATCCTACTAGCTCGATTGATGGTTTCATTTAATTTATTTAAACCAGGTTACCTTTAGTAATATTTTTCGTTAATTTATGAAAATATCAAATTAGCCCGTAATCCTGAATCCTGATACATAAATTTAGCCTATTAATTTAACACATGTACGACTGTACTCAGTGTTGCACTATCAAATGCGATTGAAGCGCCTCTATGCCAGGGTTTTTATGTTCCTGGTCAGGCTATACCTCACTAAAACCAACAGAACGTCCGGTCCTTCGTAGTCTTCTATTTTCAGTTGGAGATATTTTAGCTGATTGACAGCTGATATTGATTGTGTCTTGATTATTCTGTTGTTGATGATGTTGACTAAGGTTTGACATAATTATCCTGAAAAAAGAAAGGTTAAGCTTCATAAATTATTAAACACGAGTCACAAGTGGCTCCGAATGTACCTATTGATTAAAATCTAAGTTCACAGCTTGTCATTGTTACAATCAGATGAAATGCTAAATCAGAAGTTTTTTGAATTCTAAATACAATAAAATACTTTTTAACAAAATTTACCCTGTTAGAAAGTCCTGTAGTATCCATTTATCTGTAAATATCTCGCCATGAGTTGGCTTATCATTCCGAGCTATGGTCAAAGGTACGTTAGATCACCTATGATTATATGGGGTTGGACCCCTATTATATTAATATTGGAACCCTTTCGATTTATTCTAAAACGTACCTACGTGCACCGGCATTCACCTCCGTTGTTTTTTATTCTGTTCCTATTATTTTATAGTGTGACGCGATGCTTAGTTGTTTAGTTCGATTTAATGAGGTTGATACTTGCTGCTAGTATGAGGAGGGTAATTTTTAATTTTGAGACTAATTTTCAACAATACCCTTTTAAGTATGCCAAATTTCGATTAAATTATAGCTGTAAAAAGTGTGACGGTTAAAATTTTGAAAAATTTTGCCCCTCTTGTTTCTATAACATCTGCCTGGTAAAGTCGATGAATTTGGGTATAAAGGAGTCAATGTTTTTAACATGCTTTTATCATAACAAAAACTTTCATTTGCGTATCAGTCATTCCAGTACAAATACGGTGATATCTACTCGAAGCTAGATCTGTTATCATTTCCAGGGTATTTTCAGCCTACATACAGAATTATTTCTATGACAGTTTATTAAAATATTTTTTTCATTGTTTTAAACAAATACTTTTTAAGCTCAAAACTACTCAGTCGCAGTACACCCCCCCTCTACTCTAACGCTTCCACGATGACGTATCAGTGTGCATATTAATTCGGCGCTTGCGCGTAATCATGCCGCGCCATTGTTTCAACGCCACAATGCGTGTGCGCAGCTTGACTAACGTCTTTGTACAGCCACAGCACGTCAGACCAAAATCACCTCTATAACAACTGCATAAGAGCCCACAGTGAATAGCTGCGTGCTGTCGTCTGTACGTTTAAAATTAGAATATTTTTTCTTTTAATACACAATAGCTTTGTTTTTGCTATTTGACAAATACGTACTTTTATACTAATTAACAGTACCTGTTATGTAAAAAATAATATCATGACATTAAATGATAAGTTATGAATTATTGTTATGACAAACTAAATCATGTATGAATATAAAATAACAACTCAGGGTTCCACAAGTATATCCATATACTTACTAGGTAGACCCCAGCCTCAGATTAATGTAATTACCTGCTTGTAAAAGTAAATAAAAAAGATTTTATTTTATTTTTATTTAAAAAAAATAATTAAGTATTTGTATACTCCGAAGATGAAGTCTCAGTTAATTATTTAAGATTTTAGCATTTGGGTAAATAAGGATAGTAATAAGCATAAATAAATATCATAAATACACTTACACCTACCAAACATACACAAATTAATATTATTATATTCCAAAAACATAGTCCTCTTTTCTGCATTTAAGTAAAAAGTTATTAATCGTGAAACAATTGTAACCTTTTTATGTAAACCAGTACATAAGAACTCATTTGACGATGCAAGAATTTAGTCACACGAAAACAGAAAACAACAAGCGAAGTATGTCATGTCGACTGACAGGCGTGAAATTCAAAATTAAAACACAATAATTTAAAAATGTGAATTTAAAGCGACGAAAATGATCCAAAAAAATCCGTAATGATCACGAAAACTCGAAAACCGAGACCAACCAGAAAGTATATGGGTCTTGGATTGCTTGCAGTATGTGCGATGATTCTTCTGATATTTTGATGACCTACAATCCTGAGTGCCTCGAGACTTATTCAGACAGCAGTGATTTTGATGATGAAACATTGAAAAGTAACGGCACAAACCACAGCGTGTTACGTAGGAAGGTGTATAGGCATACTGCAATGGCGAACTACGAGAAAGAAGTGAGTACCAAGAGATACAAAAACAAATACAACACAGAGCCTAGAACCATCCACGCCCGACAATGTACCTGCAAAGAATGCGTTGAGCCAGTTGAAGAGAAACAGAACTATCTAAAAAGGAAAAAAGTCAAGTATTTCAATGAGGGAGACAACAACATAAACGTCCATAACACCCACTCCAGAATATCTCTAGTTCGCAGTAAAATCCTTCCATGTTTGTCAAATATTTTCAGTCGGTCTCACGCTTCAAATGTCAAGGATAAACACGTTATAATGAATTCCACTAAAGATAACTGCTGCCAAGTGTACTGCGTTAACTGCAATCATAAACGACTAAAAAGGCCCAGCAAAAGAGTTCATAACTTCGCAATGCAGTCTGTTTACTCGACTGACAATGATTTGGATAATGCACCAGACTCAGGAATTAATGTTGACAGCCCAAACAAGAGCGCAACTGCGAAAGACTCCAACCTTAGCTGCAGCTTCACCTCGTCTTCTATTAGTGAAAATATACAGACAGCTAAAAAGAAATTCAAAAAGATGATTGAAAGAGAAATCAGGAAATCATACCTCAAGAAACTCGTAAGGCAAACACAAGAGCAACAGTTACCTGCTAAGCCAAATTATCAGGTGTTCTCCACTCCTAGAACAAGTAAATTGAGTAAACAAGACCTGAGAGATATGAGCAGTTTCGGCTGCAACGTGATGCCATCAAACTCATCTGTTTTCTGGGAATATCTCGTTGACAGAATCAACAAAAAATATCAGAACAACAACAGAAGTGGATTACTTAAGTCATGTCACTGCACAAACACGCAGCAATGTCCAAATGCCATGGATTCTCTACTACGTGATGCAACCGGGCCTAAATTAGATTTTAAAAGTCCAGTAAGCACTGGAGATCAAGGCACACAGGATGTTATCTGTTCGTGCAAAACATCTCCAGCGAGCGGAAGCCCAAATCCAAGCCAACCCAAAATGAGCAATACAGCACAAAAAGATCAAACTACACCCATTGTTAAAATCCAATGCAAATGTCACACACCTATACCACTGTCTCCTATGCAAAAAGACTCCCCAACACCTCAGACTCCACTGCAAGGTCAAGGAAGTGACGATATGAATAGACCATGTCAAGAGCCACACGATCAGATCAAAGCATCGCTAGAAAAGAAGTACAACGGCGAAATACTCTGCATTCACAATCCTCCCTGTATCCTCATTAACGGTTGCCTCAATCTTCCTCCAGTGAAAGGCCAGTTCTCTCCTTCAGCATGGCCTGTGACTCAAAGATCGAGTTTCCACTGTGGTTTTCATAAGGAAGAAATCAACAAGCAGCACCAGGAACAAGCGTGCCAGTACCAGCATCCTGATTTCACTTTACAGCAACGTCTAGAGACAGAGTACAAAACGGAGAAGATGACGCAAAGTATTTGCAACCACGATCCTCCTTGCGAAGTGGTGCGATGCTGTTACAAGCCAGAGTTTGACCCAAAATTAGAGAACTCATGTGTGCATGTACCAATGTGTCAGAGACTGCCGGAATGCGTCATAAATGAGAGCGTGAATTTGATGAAATGCGATCATCAGCCGCAGTGTACTGAACTGCCTGTTTGCAAGAGAAAGCCGAAGAAGTACATTGTTCTGGCAGCGCGAGACACGATTGGTACTCAAGTTAAGCCGAATGTAAAGATGGAGTGTAAGCATGATCCGCCTTGTATATTCATACCTAAATGCTTGGGGAAGTTGATGTGTGAAGGCTATGTTCCCTGTGAAGCTATACCTGACTGTATCCACCAGCCGACGTGTGAGTCGATACCAGCCTGTTGCAGAAAGTCCGCCAAAATGGTGAATGTTACTTGCCAATACCCCGCTTCTCCTTGTCGCATAGTCTAAATTGCTACTGTAGGCAAGATGCTAATTGTGTAATTATGTTTTCTACGTGTCCTGACGGCTCATTTGCTAGGTCATGTGAGTTATTAATGATTTTCTTAGCATCTTGTCTATTGGTACAGTTAGTTAATAGATACTTGTCGATGTAGAGTGTAAAGACAGTGGAGAGTCTACGCTTTTAATTATTTAGATTTTTATTTCTATTGACGAGTTTAATGACTGTTAGTGAATCTTATTTGAATCTTTATTTTTATTTGTGAGCTCTTTGTATGAAATCTATTACGTATTTTGGTTTTGTAGATCCATTTATCCTCATTTCATGCATTTTCATTTGTTGTAGATTAATATAGGAGTTTTAAAATTGTATTTTTACTTCTAATTCATAGCTTTAAGAGTTATAATAATATGTGATAAATATGAATTATTGTCTGCTTGTTACAGAACAGTTTCTTCAAACGGGGGTACCTGAAACGGAGGCAGAAGTCGTTCGAGTGAGCCCATGACGTCAACTATATTTTGGACATATTTTTCAGTGAATAAAGTCTCGTCAGTCGATACTTTCGAGTTTTATTTTTAGAAATTCTGAAACTATTGAGCATAAAAATCGATGTTCAGTTAAACGTGACCTCTTACATATTTCACATGATATTGCATCTACTTAGTAGAGGGCTCAGAATCTACACTAATCTAAAAAATAAATACTTACCTCAGAATTGAGTTATCGTAGGCACAATGTAAGTAGGTAAATGTTACTGGCACTCAATGTAGATCGTGTTTAGTACACGCAGAGTTGCACCATCTAACGTTAACCGTAACTATAACCACCCGATAACAGGTGCTTTTTGTATGGACTTTGACAGATTTTTGACGTTTGTTAAAGATAAAGTAAAGTAAGATGGTGAGAGATGGGAGAAGGTACTTCAATGGTAGTGCCTGGATGAAAAAGCGGGAGATGGTGCTATGCTATGCGATTCCCCTTAGGGAAGGCTTACGTCTAGTAATTACAATTCACTGACTAAAAAGACTTATTCAAGGATACATACCAGTATGTAACCACAGGTTACGTCATTGGTGAAATTGTACCGAAATACATTTCAATTGTTTACCCCAACTTTTTCTTTGTATGTGCCCCGCGTAGTGTGTAGTGTGCGTGAGAGAATGCGCGTGCGATCATATTTGCATTCAATTGATAGTATTAACCATTCTGGCCAGAGTTTGGTAATATCAGCTTTGTTTGGTAATCTGACTTCAGTGATTCACTGGTAACACTGTGGTAACAAATAGCCACTAGTTCAGTGATTTTAGAATTTCAGAGGACCTAAGAGTGGCTAAGTAACAAGACAAGTAACAATGCTATGGTGATTGGATAGCAATAAACAGTTTAGAATTTTTATAACTCGTATATTAATGCGATTGATGGGTGCTGAAGGTCAAATTTATTTTGGTCGTTTTCGTCCTAAATAATTTTTTTAGAATGTATTGAAGTAACTCTGTCTAAATTCATTTACAAGTATTAAGTAGGTAACTGGTGAATTTGGTATAGATGTAATGGGACTTAGAAGAATGATACAAGATAATTACCTAAATTCTATTTTAATTTATTTAAAATATACGCTTTGGTATCTACCCAAACTCTGGTCGGATTTTGAAATAAATATCAGTATCAATTAGCATAAAAAGTGTATAATAGACAAACTTCGATCAAAAACAACCAAGTTAACGTTACCCAAAACCCGATACCAACAAATACCGCTACGGAACCTTCCAGACATTCCACCTCGGTCCGGCACAACTATTATTATAATCTACCAAAATTTATCGGCCTGCCCCTCGAGGTACTAAACATTCGAAACTTATAGCCAGCCGAAGATATTTCCTAATCTACACGAACCAACGTGGAATTTTATCATTTCGACCGTCTAAAGAACAAAACCTGTTTTAGAGTACCTGTATTATAAAAAATTCTTTCACCACCCAATGGATTTTCAACCGTATTCGTCTCCACATGGAGTACAATTTTGTGATTTTTTTGTTATAGGGATAAGATGTTATGTGTGCTGGGCAAGCGTGATCAAAAACTAATGAGTGTAGATCATTGACCCCGACCAGTTTTCTGCCGCACAATTTATAAACGCAGTAAGTAACACGTGAACAGTTTCGAGAAAAACGCGATCAAAGTTGAAATTTTGTTTTGGAGTGTCTACAATTAGTTACGCAAATATTTGTAAAAAAAAATGTATGGGCTTATAGAGCTAAACTCAAAGTTTATTTTGATATGAGGTTTTTGTATTTTAATTAATATTTTGTATTTAAAATTATTAAAAAACTGTTTTCATGTTATGAGTGTATATCATAGTTGCGACAAACAAAGGTGCTACAAACGTAGCGGCGACAGTACGTTATGCCGACAGTCAATGGCACGACTGCACATTAGCTCGACGAACGTTAGCGCGACAGAACGACGGGGCGACAAACGAAAGCACGACAGTACTTTGGAGCGACAAACTCTAGCCCGACATTACTTAGGCTCGACAAACGATTGCACGACAGAACCTCCGATCGACAAACTACACTGTGACACAACTTTTTACTCAACGACCTAAAGCATGACAAACATAGTGACAAGTTATTTTAAAAAATATGTATTTGGATGTATTAGTAATCTATATATATAAAAGAAAGTCGTGTTAGTTACTTCGCTTATAACTCAAGAACGGCTGAACCGATTTAGCTGAAAATTGTCAGGGAAGTAGTTTAAAGCCAGGAGAAGGACATAGGATACTTTTTATCCCGTTCGAAATTAAAAAAAAGTCTGCTTATTTATTGCCATTAAGGCGGAACAAAGTTCGCCGGATCAGCTAGTGTATAATAATAATTAGGCTTTAGATTTATTTTTTAATTACATGTTTACTTTAAAATTAAATTATACCTACATAAACGTTAACAAAAAATGTAATTGTATAAAAATGTGAAAGTAAACATGAAAGTAAAAAAAACCTAATTCGATGGCTCCTACGTATACTGGCGTAAGTGAAAAAAGTAAATTTTACAGGAGAGCCATTTTAGTGGCCAGAACCATATTTTTGGGTCATATCTTCTGACCTACTAAAACGAATTTAATGAAATTTCACATTTAGCCTTAACATGTAATGCTTTTGCTACTGCTATTATCAATTTTTATATTTTTCTTATATATTTTGAGATTTTACGCATTGCCCTTTTACGTCGTCACATTTCTATAATTTCATGTATATTGTTCAACGTAAAGAGACTTAAATGACAACGTAAGTATAATATTTTAAGCGATTACTCTCTTTATTTATGCATGTAATTATTTTAATTGTTATCATGTGCTATATCAATAATAAATCAGTTAGAAAAAGTTGTTTAATGTATCGTTATTACGTTTTAACGCAAATACGCCCATATACTGTGCTCGAGATTTAGTTAAGTCTTTTAACATAATGTGTCATATTTTTAAAAATTATAAATAACTTGAAAAATTCGAACTGCCTAAGGCGGGAAATGAACCCACGATGCCTTAGGCAGTTAGATTTTTTCAAGTTATTTATAATTTTCAAATTAGTTTGAGATGCGACTATTAACGCTAAAAATTAAATAACTATATAATGTGTCATAATTTATAAATAAAACAATTTGCTAAATATTTTCATGGCTTTATTTAAGATTTGGATTATAAAAAATATATATTTATGTAAGCAACTACTCGTATAGATTGACGAATCGTATGATTGGGCTTTATACGTGGCGTAGTTTTGCACATACGCCTATTTGCCTAAAATTTTATTTTGTATCTAATGGGAAAAAAAATATTTTTTCTTACTGACGTTATAGATTAGAGCAAAATGAAATCATTGCTTAAATAATTGGAAAAAGGCGTAAGCGGCAGTTTCGCCTTTATACGTAGGAGCCATCGAATTATGCATTATCATATATTTTTTCGTATAACATTAATGTGATTTAAAAAAATATTAAAAATACAGAGAGTACATTTTTGTTAACGTTTATTATTTCTATTTTATAATTTATTTTATTCTATTTTTGTGTATAATTAAAGTAAACATGATAGTTTAAAGTTAAGTTATACATACTTATGGCACATTAAGTTGAAACAATTAACATAACATTAAGTTGAAAATGTAAGATTAAAATAAACCTAATATATCCACATATGTTTGTCATGCTTTAGGTCGTTGAGTAAAAAGTTGTGTCACAGTGTAGTTTGTCGATCGGAGGTTCTGTCGTGCAATCGTTTGTCGAGCCTAAGTAATGTCGGGCTAGAGTTTGTCGCTCCAAAGTACTGTCGTGCTTTCGTTTGTCGCCCCATCGTTCTGTCGCGCTAACGTTCGTCGAGCAAATGTGCAGTCGCGCCATTGATTGTCGGCATAACGTACTGTCGCCACTACGTTTGTAGCACCTTTGTTTGTCGCAACTATGATATACACTCTTATGTTGAATGGATTAACTAAGTTTTCGTTCGATACTTACTACCCATGAATGCAGTATGATTGTTCCTTACTGCGTTTATCAGTAGTTTTCGTTACTTACGGTACATGTGTTAAATGATTGATTTAAATTTTAGTTCTTACAACGTAATATAAGCGCCGTATCTTTACAACTTACTGCATTTATGAGTGGGAGTGTGAATCAAAATAATTTATCAAAACTTTAAATGCGCAGTAATAATACAATTATACTGCGCTTATCATAAGCCAATAACGCTTTCATGTTGAACTTTCCCAAATGACCAAGGGGTAAATGAAACAAGTATTACAAAATAATTGCTGAGATCGCTTGTTATTCAATCAAAAATTAAGATATGGCACGTACTTTTAGATCTTAAATATACCAATCTAATAAAATAAAGACTCGGTCGTTCGTTTCAGCCGAAAGACGTCCACTGCTGGACAACGGCCTCCCCCAAGGATTTCCACAAAGACCGGTCCTGTGCCGCTCGCATACAGGCACCTGACGCTACCTTCACCAGATCATCGGTCCACCTAGTGTGAGGCTTGCCCAAGATGCGTCTTCCAGCTCATGGTCGCCACTCAAGAACTTTCCTGCCCCAGCGGCCATCAGACAACTTATAGTGTCTCCAACCTTCAGAGGAGTGGGTACAGCACGGCATTTGACATGATTTTTGTCTTGTCCATTAAAGACCCATTTGTTGAGAGGCTCTATTGAGGCAATCGAGGATTGAGCTTAGATCCTCCACGTTCTCAGCCATGACTACGATATCGTCCGCGAATCAAAGATGGGTGATGTACTCGCTGATGATATTTATGCCCAATCCGCTCCAGTCCAGAAGCTTGAAAACATCTTCCAGAGTGGTAGTGAACAGTTTTAGAAATATGACATCTCCCTGTCTGACCCCTCGCTGCAACTGAAGTCCTGATCCCGGAGACGGACTGACATTGTGGCCTATTCGTACAAGCCCTTCAACGATTATATCTATAGTAAATTTGGCACCGTTGGAGAGACTGTAGCTTGAAGAGAGAAGTCTTTCTCATAGACCACAAATGCCAGA